GTTTGAACCAGCATCAGCTACTGAGTCAGCCCCTTGAACCAGATTGTCTTCTTGCCTCTCCTGATCATTTCTCTGCTGGCCGTAGCATTTGCAGAGATCCTATGTTAGTATGGCCGAACATGTGGTATAATGGTAGAGTATTTGCCTGGTGTGTTTGAGGGCCTGGGTTCAATCCCAGGTACTACAGATAAACCAAGAAAACCTTATTAAGACTCAAAAAAATTGAAGCAACTATTGGAGTTAATTTCTTTCTCCTTCTTCTAAAGATTTATTTTTATTTTGTGTGTATGTGTTGTCTGCATGTATGTGTGCATATATACCACATGCATGTCTGGTACCCCTGAAGGCCAGAAGAGGGTGTTGGAGACCCCAGACAGACAGTTGTGAGCCACCATGTGGGTGCTGTAAACAAAACCCCATGCAAAACAGTAAGTGCTCTTAACCACTGAGCCATCTCTCTAGTCCCCCAAATTAATTATTTTTTAAAAAATATTTTGGTAGGCCAACAAGATGGCTCAGCAAGGAAAGGTACTTGCTACCAAGCATGAAGACTTGAGTTCAATCCCCAGAACCCACATCATGGAAGCAAAGAACCATCCTGAAAGTCTTCTGGATTCTACTTACATATGTGGCACATATTCATGCACACACACACACACACACACACACACACACACACGTAAATAAATTAATTTTAAAATGTGTTTAAAGCCTAATAATGAACTGAAACTGCACAGATAACAAGATGTGCATGAATGTTTCTTTAAATACTTGATGTTTTCATAAGCTGTGTCTGTAGATTTTAGATTCAGAATGTAAAGTAATGCTCAAACAACACCCCAAATATATGTGGAATATTTTTAGCATACATAACTCATTGAATACCTGTTTAATAAGATCTTTTGTCTGAACATTCCTTGTGACTCATAGAGCATTTTCCTGTAAATGCTCCCGTTGGTGGCTGACTCAGCCTCTCTAATCCTGATTTAACTTAGTTAACCTGTAAAATGGGGATGAAAATAGTGTTTGCCCATAAGGTATTTACCAATTTATGTAAAGGCTTTTATGTAAGTTCCCAGTGTTAGTCAGAGTATATTACTAAACATAAAGAAATGTTGAAGTACCAACCTAAAAAGAATGCATGATAAATACCCACGTGACAAAATTCACAGCTGGAATTTGGGATATTGTTAAGTAATGTACCTCTTATTTTTCTTTGTTTTTAGTCATTCTTAAACCCCATCTTTGAGAAAATGGTGCTTGGATTACAGTAAACAACTTTTCATTATCCTGAGCTTTTGTCCTCCTCCGTCCCCCTTTGTCACAAGTAATACTTTTCCTTTAACCTAAGCAATAAAGAAGACACCATCTATTTGCAGTGATCTCATCAGACTAGGACACAGAGAGGTCAGGTCTCCTGCCACCCTCTCCACTTCCGCCTAGCCACATGTGATCCAAATGTTTGTACCTCTTTTACGTTGATGACTTGGCTCAAGACCTTGGAGCAATCATCGCTAGAATTGGCAGGCCTCACTGAGAACACAGGAAAGGGAACAAAGTGGTGCCAAGGACAGACTTCAAGTCTCTAAGGCACAGGATGCCTGTGGAGTGGGATGCTCAGCTCTGCATCATGGTGGATTGTTTTCTATAGTTTTCTTGTGGTGTGGCCTCTTGTGTTGCTTTCAACTCTTGTTACCACAGATAATACCTCAGAGTTCCTGGAAATCCTGTTTTGGTAAAACCTCTGGCTCAGCCTTATGCTGGGGTCTGTGAGGTTAGTTTCTGTGCATGCCATGCCTCAGGATCCACTATACCCTCCTCTCTCAGGTTGCCATATCCCTTCAGTGCCAATTTTGTCATGTCAGACTTTTGGTATCTTGTTTGTTCTTGATTCTGTTTTTATATTGATGTGTTACTGCCTGCCCAACAGTGTGATGCATATCTGAGTGTCAGAAGAACCGTATTGGACAATCTACTCAGTGTGTCATTTGTTGATTCATACATGTGACAGGACCTCAAATAACCACTGAAATGAGAATACTCTGGGGCCCCAAGGTAACATGTGGAGTTTAGTTTGGTCCAGGAGTAAGGGGAACTTTGTGTGGCCACTAGTGAGTTTGAGCAGAAAAATAAGTCATGAGTCAGTATCCTTCTCTTTAGATGAGTTAAATCAAATGATTCACCAAAGACCGTGTGTGTGTGTGTGTGTGTGTGTGTGTGTGTGTGTGTGTGTGTGTATGTATGTATGTATGTATGTATGTATGTATGTATGTATGGTGCCCTGTAGGTGCTGGTGGTTCACAGAGGAGAGAAAGCAGGCCCGTAGATGACTCCCACAGTAGATAGGGGGCCCACTCCACAAGGACTACCCATTGTAAATGTCTGTTATGTGAAGATGTGTGAGCACCTTTGCATTAAGGTTGCATCAACATCCTGCAGCTACATAAAGAAGTAGATTGATTATGTTAACCCTCACCAGCGTTGAGTATATTGGGGGGGTTGCTAATATTCTATGTCTTTCTTTGATAATGAAACTAAATATTGACATTTTTAGTACCTGTGGGAGAGCACCACTGGACATTTTCATTTCCTAAGAAAGATACACAGTAATACTCCCTAGATCTCATCTTTGTTTGGGTCCAGAGCCTTTATGCTTTATCGGGGTCACAGTTGAGGGTACCCTATATTTCAAAGTAGTTCATATTTGCTGCTGCCTTACTAATAAGTGCTTAATTAACATTCAGCCTGGCAGGGTTGCTGCTGAGGAAACTGGCTTCTGTTACTGTATAAACTCAGAAATCAGAAACACCTGCTCTCCTTTAAACAAGTTTTCATTGTGTTTTCCTTGAAACTCCTATTCAATTCCAAAGTTTATGGGATTTGCTGTGATGTCGAGTCAATGAAACATCAGGAAAGAGTTTAGATACCTCTGGGCAGTGAGTGTCTGACTTAAACAGCGCTTATGCTGAGTTGTTGCTGTCTAACTACAGCATCTCTATGTTCCCACCTGAGGTCCCTTCTCAGCAGCACTGATGTGGAACTTGGAGGTCTCTCCTGCCCAGGGCTGGTGAAGGCACTGAGAAGGGGGTCACATTCTAAGGAGACACACAAGATAGAACTTCCCTAAGCTGATGGGACAGCTCTTGTCTATTTCTTCAGTTTTACTGGGATGTGTGAACCCCCAGTAAACACTGACCTGTTACCATCAAGTGTCAGAATAGTGCTTGGATGTGACCCTTTTGTGAGTTGGAAACTGTGTGCAACCAGGAGTCCTGCAACCCTGGCAGCTATTGACTTAAGTGTCAGCACAGTTGTCTGTAGTCCTCAGTCCCCCTCTCCCTGCCTATCCTCATCCAGGCTGAGAGTGTGAAAGTCAAACTGGACATTGCTGAGGTACAGCCTGACTCTCAATTGTAGCTTTGCTATTGAATGACCAGACTTGAGTTCCAGAAGGGCTGTATGCCTGCGTTAACATGCTCAGCTAGGTGTGTGAAATACACACTGGTCTCACAGTGAAGTTATATCACTGTAGCTCTTGTCTGTCTGATTTGTGTGGAATTTTGTAAGAATTAGCCAATATGAACATTTCTGCTCCTAAGGCTGTTGACTGTGCTACTAGGCACACTAAGGCTTTGACTGGAAAAGAGTTTAATATTTTGAAAAATATTAAATATGGACACATTTTGAATCAATAGTATGTCCTTGCTTCAGCCTTTCTTCAAGGAGAGTGAGGCAATGTACCCCACGTCCTTGGGGAGACTAGGGGAATATGTTGGAGGATATTCTGGTGAGCCCCTTTCCTTTATTTTAAAGGGAATAGAAAGTGCTTATTCCCAGGATCATATACTGGGCAAGGGTACTGAATGTTTCTGCTTATCTGAAAAGTCTCTAGCACCACATCAAGTTTAAATACCTGGAGACAGCACATATCTGAGAGTCTGACAGCTTGCATTCTGTTTTCACTCACTGTGTAACATTAGGCAAGTTGGTTGGCCTCTTTGATAACCTGTTTTCCTACCTGTAAAATGAAAGTGTTGTGGGAGCTGAATAAAACAATAGTGTATGCATAAGGCACAATGTATGTATAGGGTGTAGTGCATACATAAGACAGTGCATGCATATGGCATGGTGCATATAGAAGGCATGTTGTATGTATAAGGCCTTATGTCTTTTCATTAAATGCTAGAAGTTATTTACAAGAGTTTTTTTTCATGCTTAGTCTCAACTCACAGGACATCTTAAAACAGCGCCCCTATTCTGGGTCTCCCCAACTTCATAGAAATGTAAAAACTTCAGATAAAGTTAAAAGTGACAATGACATAAAAAGTTTAGAGTAAAGCAAAGCCCACTAATGTTGCTAACTAATTTTCATTTTGTTTATATAAGAAAGAAATTTCACTTCTCGTTCTCATAATGATGGTAAAATTGTGTTTTTGCCATTCAGTTTGACATTCAGTTATTTCTCTTTGTCCAGAGAAATAATCACAGTCTACATTTGACTAGTCAAGATTTATAGAAACAAAGATGGGTTACTGTTGGAGTGAGAGCTGCAGAAACTCATGTAGTTTTATTCCCTTGACCCTGAGTCATTCCCTGGTTATTCCCAAGATTTCTGATGTATCATAATGGCTCTTTATACAAGGTGCCTGGGAACCATGGAGAAGGTGCTCCACAGGGACACTTTTCTAAGTGGGGAGTAAGTTCAGCAGGTGTCCAGAATGTGTAAGAATGATGAGGTAACTGGGTAATGCTTCTCCAAACATGGCACCTGCTATGTCAGTTGGGACCTCAGATGTCTACTTTTGGTTTTGGGTTATTTTATTTTTTGAGACAGATTCTCATGTAACCTAGGTTGGCTTCAAACTTGTATGTATGGAGGATGACCTTGAACTCCTGATCCTCCAATATTTTTAATAATTGCATCTGAGTTGGGTTACCATAGGTGGCTCTCTGGCTTCTTGTTTGTGGCATCATGCTAAGCTTTTTCTTTTCTTTTCCAGATACTTACTGGAGCAAGATTTTCCCGGCATGAGAATTGGCCCGGAGCCGACCACAGATTCCTTCATTGCTGTGATGTATGGGGAGACCGAGGGAAGCACCCCTGGGAACGCTTTAGTTGTGGATCCCAAAAAGCCATTCCGAAAGCTTAGTCGCTTTGGAAATGCTTTCCTGAACAGGTAAGGACCAGCAAGCTGCAATCTTTAATCAGGTTATTGAAATTTTTCTTCAAATTATTGCCTGTCATGTGGAGTCAAAACAAGAAAGACAGAGCATGTGTTCTGGAAGAGGAAAGTGTGTATGGGGAGAGGGATGCTAATTGTTCACATTCTAAGACTGTCAGAAGACATGATTACTTGCATCTGTTCTGAGTAACTTCCTGGGCATAGCTGAGGCCCAAAATGGACATCATAGCTGCCCAGTATGAGGGAAAATGTCTAATAATTTGGTTTGCACAGGAATAATTTAGGTTGCCCAGTTCTTGTCACTAGCTGTGTTAAGTAGTAGTGGGACAGCTGCTTCTCAGGTATGGCCACAGGGCAGGGCTTCCAACACTTTGGAAGCTTTAGCTCAGAGAAGATGTAAGGTCCCCTGACACCCAGGTTTGATCTTTTGATTCAGGATAGGTCCCCTCATCATGACTTTTCATTCCTATGCTTTGAGGGCCTTCCTAATTCCCTGGAGCTGGGCAAGATTGCAACAGGGTGAAAACAAAGTTAGCTTATCTATGTAGAAGGGTGTTGATTGGAAGTGTGTTTTGCCCTGCTTCCTTTCAATAGACTTCCCAGTGCAGCTGAGGTGTTGGTGGGTGGGGAGGACAAATGACTCTGCAGTAGGATGAGATCTACTGACCCTCTTTTTCTGCTCCACTGTGTCCCTCCCTTCCTCTCACCCTCCCTCCCTCCTTTCTGCCTTTCCTTCTTTTCCCCCCCCTCCCAACTAACAGTTTTACTTTTTAATTATTTTATTTATTTCTGTTACTTCTAATATATATGAAAGAGAACATATATTTTGTATATTGTATTTTTCTGGCTTTTTGTATCTGGCTAATTTCATTTAGCATGATACTCTGGTTCCATTTTGCTACAAATGACAGAACTTTATTTTATGGCCAAATAATACCCCATGTGTATGTATATGTGTGTGTGTATATTATTTAATATATATATATATATCGTCTTCTCTCTTCTTTTTGTACTGGGGCTAGGGATTGAATATAGAGCTTCCTATGTGCTCTGCCTCTGGGCTATATACTCAGTCCTCTTTTTTTGGGTGGGGGAGGTTGTCAGTAGGTATTGCCCAGGCTGGTCTTGAACTCACTCTGTAGACCAGACAGGCCTTGAACTTGAGGTCATCCTATCTCTATCTTCTAGAAGCTGAAATTGCAGCTGTACCACAGGCCTGACTACCATATTTTCTTCCTTCCTTCCTTCCTTTTTTTTTTTTTTTTTTTTTTTTTTATTTTTATTTAGAAGCAGTCTTATTTTACAAATCAATCCCCCTGTTCCCTCTCCCATCCTCCCATGGCCCCCATCACCCCCCACAACTCACCCCCCACCCACTCCCCAAAGACTGAGGCCTTCCATGGGGGAATCATCAAAGTCTGTCACATCATTTTGGGGAGGGCCTAGGCCCTCCGTGTGTCTGGGCTGAAATAGTATCCCTTCCTAGGGAGTGGGTTCCCAAAGCGGTGCACTAGCTACCGTATTTTCTTATCTCATTCTTTGTTGGTGGGCACTGAGCTGCTTTCATGTCTTAGCTGTTGTGAATAGTGCCACATTAACATGGCTGTGCAAATATCTTCATTTTCTTCGGGTATATTATATACACAGGAATGAGGTTGCTGGGTGATAGGTAGCTCTTAGTTATTTGAGGACACTATATGTTTTCTGTAGTGGCTATCCCACCTGACATTCACCACAGTATATAAAGGTTCCTTTCTCCTCTGTTTCATCACCAGCATTTTAAAATAATATCCATTCCAACTGGAGTGAGGCAGGATCTCATTGTAGTTTTGATTTTTATTTCCCTAATGGCTACTAATATTGAACATCTTTTCATGTGTTAAATGAACATTTTATTTCTTTTGAGATCATTTGGCTATTTTTTATTGTATTACTTGTTCTTTGGGAGTTACTGTCTTTAATTTTAATTTTGAGTTTGTTCTATAGTCTATTTTCCCATTATGTTATATAGGTTGTGGGTTTTTTTTTTTTTTTTGTTTGTTTGTTTTGTTTTGTTTTTTCATCCTGTTGATTGTTTCCTTTGCTGCACAGAGGATTTTTAGTTTGAGATAATGCTGTTTGTCAATTTCTACTTTTGTTTTTCTGTGCTTTTAGCCTTATTTGGAAAATTCAGTTTATGGTTGAGATTGTTAAAAATGTGTATATTTTCTTTTTAAAACCCCTTTCTCTTCATTCTTGCCATTCCTCCACACCCCTCTGTGGCTTTAAAGACTGGGGAGGCAACCATTAGCTAGAAGTGGATGACCAGCTCCAGCCTGCTTAGGAAGAGGAAGAAGGGCTGGCACTGAGACACAGCAGGGGACATGAGCTGCACTTCTCCTTTCTAGATGTTCCTAAAAATAAGAACAGCCCCTCCCTCTGACTGCTGCCTGTCCAGAGCCTGAGAGGCTCCATTCCTGGGGACTCTGGAATGAACACTTGCACAGTGGCTGTGCTGGTAACAGCCCAGGCAGCCTCCAAGATCCCGTCTACGAGCAGACTCCTCCTTTAAAGGCTTTCGGATGCTCCTGTTATAAACCAAAGAGAGTATCTGAGGGGTATCAAGAAAACTTGGTGGGTTAGGCAAAAGTGTGCAGATGATGGAGATGGAGAAGTTCATTCTGTTGCTAACAGTGACTTACAGAACACTGTCAGATAACCTCCTCTGTGGATTCTGTTCTTCAGGTGGGGTTTGTGCCTTAACTCCAGAGCTGCCATGGGTGGCAGCTTCTTTCTTCTCATGCAGAAGTTAACCCCGCCCCCCACAAACACACACATGCACTTTCTGGGAGTTCAGAATGTGGGGCAAACAACAACCAGACTTTGTTCCAGCCCTGGCCTATCTAGAGGCCCAAGGCAAAGTACCCTTCCTCTTTTCTTTTTGTGGTTTATTATTGTTATTATTATTAGTCTGACATGCTTTTAAAGAGAAATAAACTAACTCCCCCCCTTTTTTTCTTCAAATTCTCATTTACCAAGGCCATACTTTAAAGGGAATATGCAGGACGAATGATTATTTGTTTTACTTTGTCAAATAACTTACTTTCCTAAAATAACTATTTATTTTTAATCTCAAACTGAGAGCAGATGACTATGGAAGGAAAGTATAGAGAAAAGATTTTGAATGGCAAGGTTCACTATCTTAGAATTTAAAATGTGCTGAAAATAATCCATTCATTGTATTAATTGAGTCCAGGATAACAGAAAAACAAAGACCTATTCAGCATGTGTCTAGCACTGCCCCAAATTTTACTTGTATATGCAACATGGAAAGCTGTATTAACTGTAAGTCCTCATGAAGATGATGTGGCTGCTACCATTATCCCCAAGCAGTGATGAACAGCAAGGGTGAGATAATGTCTTTGGGGTCCCTCAGCCTAATGGCAGTGTTGGGATTAGAATTTAGATCATCCGGCCTCAGTCCTGGAGACCACAGTGCTGAGTTTCCCGGTGGTACAGTGTTTAAACCCTGCCTGCAGTGACGACAATGGAGAAGATACTACCTACCAAGTTATAGTTCACACAATTTTACCAGTACTATGCTTGTGGAATTAATTAAGAGTAAAATAGCTATAATGAGGCTTTTTCTGTCCTACCAGCCAGTTCCCAAATAATGACACAGAGACTTTTTATTCATTGTGAAAGCTCAATCATAGCATAGGCTTGTTCCTGTATTTTATAACTTAAATTAGCCCATTTATGTTAATCTACATTCTATGTTGTGGCATTATCTCTCTTTCATTTTGTACCTCCTGTTTTCCTTTCCATGTCTCCTGGCATCTCCTGCGCATCTAGATTCCTCCTCCTCTTCATTTGTCTCCCTGGAAATCCCACCTTTACCTCCTGCCTAGCTATTGGCTATTCAGCTTTTTATTACACCAGTCACAACAATATATCTTCACACAGTTTACAAACATACCACAACAAATGGCCAGTTCACAAGTAAGAAAGCTAAAAGCAATGAAGTAGTTTGCTGAAGAAAAGGTGATCAGGAAGAGGCAGAATTCAGGTTTCCCCTCTTCCTACCATTTACCATGCTGTGCCCCAGCACTGAGGAATATTTGTCCTTCAAGCCATCCTGGTGGCTGTGCTTGTGTGAGGTTTGCAAGTACAGGAAGTGCCTCATGGAAATCCACAATGCTGACAGCCCAATTAAGTGGTGTCTGCATGACAAGGCAGCTGCCTCACACAGTGCATGAAAGGATCATCAGTTAGGGTAAGGCATTCAAACTGTGTGTGTGTGTGTGTGTGTGTGTGTGTGTGTGTGTAAGGCATTCGAACTGTGTGTGTGTGTGTGTGTAGCAGCCCTCGTGTGTGTGTGTGTGTGTGTGTGTGTATGTGTGTGTGTGTGTGTGTGTGTGTGCGCGCGTGTGTAGCAGCCCTCTGGGATATAGCAGGATTAGTGCCAAAGGTGGGAACTCTGAGCATGACACACTTTTCTGGAAACTAGGTCAAAACATAATAGGAATGAAAGCTATTTGTTTTCTGGGTAGAGCTTTCTCCCTAGATCTTGATGATAGGGGCCTCTCATGACTTCAGCCACTGCTCCCAAGGGCTTCTTTAAAAGAGTTAAATACCTCACAGGGTGCTTAAAGTCAGGTGATATCTGGAGGGTGACACTACCTTCCACATTAAGCAAACCTTGGGGACCTGAGTCCCCTAGGCTGATTGTTGAGAGACTAAAGGATCAGTGGTGATACATCTCAGAAAAATGGAGGTGAATTCCTGAAAAGAAGGGTTTGAATTAGGAAACAGCACACTTAAACAGCACAGGGGGAAATTAAGTTTAAAACAAAAAAGAGTTTGATGTAAACAAGGCATGCCTCAAACTACCTCCATCAAGCTACTTCATCTGAGAGAAGTCCCAGGGCCCTGTTTTGGAGTTGTGCCATGGAGTTGATATTCTAGCACGTATCAGGAGGCAGTCACTTCACAGAGAAAATACAGACACTGTC